CTCTATGGCAAAGCACATTAAAAGCATGGATATCAATTAAAGATAGTCTATAAGTCTCACTACTTAAGAACATAGATAAACTTTGGAGATAATCCATATTAATAATATATATATATATATATATATATAAAATAGATAAATAACACCATTTCTATACTTGGACTAATAGAGGACTAATAGTGATTAAAGATCTTTGAAATAAGACTCAAAATAATTTATAAGATGAATCCATCTTCAAGTAATTTACTTCTTTCTAATAAATAGCCTTTCAAAGATATGAATTCATTTTCAACATATCTTGGCATCTACAATAATGTATATTATTTAATCCAAGAGATTGGTGGTTATTCAATGTAATATGAGAAATAATAGAGATTTAATATTTTTAAGGCATGGATGTTGGAAAAATTATTGGTTGCTAATACATTGTCTATCCTTCAGAAGAACTAATGCTAATATAATCAAGTCCTCTTGACAATGAAACAAGGAATTATAGAAGAGTCTAAGTAACTTACAAAATAGAAGAATCAAGAAACTTCAAAGACTTCAATCCAACTAATCTCATATGTAATGACTACACTATCTAATTAATTGATAATTGACTAATTGATTCTCTCAAAATAGATCACAACAAATAGATATAAAAAAATTAAAGCAGATTATGAAAAGTAACAATCTATAGATATGAAACCAAACTTAGCTATAAAATCGGCCTCTATAAGGTAATAATAAATAATAAAAGAAAAAAATAACTCAAGAGATATCACTTCATTATAAAGCAAACTAAATAATTTTATACTGAGCTTTAGCATTCTTCAATTTTAATTAAAGCCGCCCTCTTTAGATGGCTCATCTTTGCAAGGGCCTTCTCTACAAGCAAATGGGATATGATTGTTGGCCATAATAGATATTGTTCAATCTACAACAATAGAATCATAAAAATAATAGTACACATATTCTATAATTGCCCCTCACATCTTTACTATCTAGACTAGATATAATATGTTATAATCATGAAGCAGATATGTATAAGCACAAAACTAATGAAATATATTATAGAATGTCGTAATATGTAAAGACTTGTTTGAAAATGCTCCGGGCACATGGCTATGGAAGGTAGAAAAAAATTGCAACAATAAAATCCTAACTCTAATAAAATACTAACTAAACTTTAATTAGACCATAACAATGCTAAAAAAGCTTTAATCAAATTCAAAGAAAATCAAAGGAATTATAAAGAAACAATAAGAAATCTCAAAAAAAAAATTTGAATGATCACAAATATATCTCAAATATATCTTTATTCAATCTTAGTTTAATCTTAGTTAAAATCCTATTGGACTTCATTCAAATTTTAGGCCAAAAAATAATTAAATATTAAATCTTAAATAAATCCTAATAAAATCCTAAATCTTAAATTAAATCTTAATCAAATCCTAAACTCTAAATCAAATCCTAATAAAATCCTAACCAAATTCTAATCCTAAATCAAACCTTAACCAAATCCTAATAAAATCCTAACAAAATTCTAAATCCTAAATCAAATCCTAAATCAAATCCTAAATCAAATCCTAATCAAATCTTAAATTCTAAATCAAATCCTAATCAAATCCTAATCCTAAATCAAACCCTAATAAAATTCTAAACTCTAAATTAAACTCTAATCAAATCCTAAATCCTAAATCAAATCCTAATAAAATCTTAAATCTTAAATAAAATCCTAACTAAATCTAAATTCTAAATCAAATCCTAATCAAATCCTAAATCCTAAACCAAATCCTAACCAAATCCTAAATCCTAATTCAAATCCTAAGCAAACACTAGTAATTTCTACAACAGATTTAAACTTCAATATCTAATAAATGAACCGTTGATCTCAACTCAAAATTTGCACACTTCTTAATAATTAAGTTTACAACAAGCACAAAAAATTTGAAAAGGATCGAAATTACTAAATAGACAATAACCTCAAAAATGTGCTCGGGTATTGGTCGGCATCCTTTTCCAACCTTGATACCAATCTTTTAGAGCCAATATCTCTCCTTTTCATTATTCGATTGATCTCAAAATTTTCACATATATAGAAATATAAGTCTACTATCTTCATCTATAAATTTCACTCTAATTCAACTAATAGATTGCAAGAAACCTTAAAAGTCTTACTAGACCTAAAATTCTACTTTTTGAGACCTTGACCCACTTCAACCTCAATAATCCTCAATAATCTTTAATTCAATTGTTAAATCAAGCTAAATTTTATAAAAAATATTAAGCACAACTATAACCATTAATCCACAAAATTTTACTTATAGATCTATTACAAAACTCTTGAAATTGTCCAAAACATCAATCCCATTTTATTTCATAAAATCCAAGTCATCCAAAAATAAACTTGAGTTTATAAAGCTCTTATAAAGTCATTGCGAATCCAAATCACACATAAAAAATGCTTATACAAACCCTATCTAGTCTGCTATCAAAGTCCACTCTTCAATCTACAAAAGAACCCTTGAGTTGCTATAAGTACTTATTTTTATGCCTTAGGATCTGATTTCGACCCAGGTTGATAATCGACCCTCTTTGGATACCAAATTTTGTCTTTTAGAGTTAATTTTTGTTAAAATAAACTACTAACTTCCTCTTATAAATGCTTGTATTCTTTATTTTCCTAATCTACTTTATTTTGCCTTATTTATGGTCCAACAAAGTAAGTAGAAGTCACTTCTTTAAAAAAGCAGCATTACTTCTAAAAGTTTTACTACCTTCCTATCTTTTATCCATATTTTTCTACTTTATGTTTTAACTTGGCTCTTCTATAATAAGATCCATATTATCTTCTTTCACCATATAGTCATGTTACAACATGACAATGGTACACTCCAATCAATAAGAAAAAAAGAATCAAAGAACTTCACTAACAATATACAAATTTGAAAAGACTTGCCATGATTGATTTTCCAATCTTTATTACTATAGAATATTTGGAAAGCAAAGTACAACCATAATCACTATTTCATCTTCCTCTATACAAGAACTATATAATACAGAGCATGAAAAAAAACAAACAAATTGGTATGAAAGTATAATAGGAGTTATACAAATACACCAAAAATAGAGAAATATTAGACAAACAAGAATCACTATATTTGAAAATATAGATAATGAATAGCATCTTTAGAATAAAATATTGATTTGATTGGTAAATACTTTTGTTGATTGATTATCTTTCTAATAATATGGCACTATAGGAAATACTTTGGGCCATTAATGAACAAGATAGAGACTTGTTAGTACCTTATTAACTATCAATTGTACTTGAGAATCCAAACTTAGAGATAATTGCTCTACCTTTCGACCCCAATAGTCTAATATAAAAATAAGAAGTCCTACATATTAGATCTCTTATTATAGTGCTAATTAAAAGTCTAAACCTAAAAAAAATAGTCCTACCATCTAACCTTGACAATCCAATGCATCATCCTAATGACAAATGGAATAAGCCACTATTGAATCCACATACTCGATTACCTACCCTGGAAGCAATAAAGACCTTCATCAATGAGATGGCAAGGTCTTAGTCAACTCCAAATAAGTATATTGCAATAGGCCAACAAATCAAATGTACCACAATAATCAATGATTGGAAACTAGATTAAATTCATGCGGCCCAAGAAGCACACAATTCATGGAATAAGAATTTAGATATAAAATAGACATAGTCCTAAATGACATAGACAATTAATGACACTATTGCATTGTACCAAAAGACAATCACTATGTAGGTGAAGAAGAAACATTACTTCTACTACTGCAAAAAAATACTTTGATAATTACTTGCAATATAAGCTTAACAATACTACTCCTACCTTTATTTCAATCCAATGTTCTAAATTTATATAAAAAAGATACAAATCAATATTCAATCACAATCTATATTATCTAATTAATAGCACCTTTGACAAATGATGAACATAAGTAGTACAACTTAACTACAACTAAAGAAGAGATTATTATTGTTATAAATATATATATTTATTTTAATAATAATCTATATGATTAAATAGAAGTAAGTAAAAGTAGGTCTATTTTATAATATTTTTTAATGAAGCTTCCTAAAAGCTTTATAGATGCTGCTTTGGCTTTACATATGTTTGTAATTGATTGATAGGTTAGAAACTTGGTCAACAAATTAACCACGTATTGGTAGCTTATAGAACAAGCTAACTATGTGGCATACATATCAAAAACTTGCCTTGCAAGTTAAAATATGTGTCTTGCAAAGTCAACACATTTTGAAGGTCCTATAGGACATCACTATGTAGCTTTCAGTTAAGAGTATATATAGAGGCAAGAGTGAAGCCTTCTTTAGTCTTATCAACGCCTTTGTAGTCTTTAGTCTTATTTCAAGACTTTCTAGTTTAATACTATATCATCTTTGAGTATTTTTTTTAGTCTTTTTTAGTCATATAAGAGTGTATTGAGTGTACCTATATCTCTTGATCTAGAACATATTAATATATATGATAAATGATGTCACTTATATAATTGAAGGTCTTTACTTCCTCAAGGGTAATATAATCTACGACTAATGTTTTGTAGACAATATACCCCTTTATCTTAAAAAGACCTCTAAGAATATGCAACACACATTTGATTTTGAGGTACTCAAATTATTTTGCACAATCTTGGGCTCACTAGTCAACTAGAACAAGACAAGGATACTATGAATTAGCAACAACTTGCGGCTATGGAATTGGAAAGAAGAGAAGGGCCTAATATGGCTTCTTTGGAGTACACATACAAAATACTTGGACTTTGTATTTGGAGATGACATAGCCCAACATAACAAAGATAAAGTTGTGATACACCTGATTTGTAAAACCCTTGCAACATGGTCAAACAAAAAACTATTCCTCCCAACAATAATGCTCACATCTAACTAGGTCATATTGGGTAGCATATGATCTCTCACCTTGTACAACCCCATCCAATAGAGAATATTGATGACGATAAAGGCACTCATTAAGAACTTCTTATGGGTTGGCCACCCAAACAAAAAGACTAGGGCTTAAGTGGCGTGGGACACTGCAATAGTTCCAACAGCCAAAAGGAGGATCAAAATATTTGATTCCATGTGACAAAGAAGAGCTATCTAGACAAAGATGACAAAGTCCTCGTTCCAGGGATAGAACCTTAGAAATCTCTCATTCTATACAAAATAAAAAATGCACAGCTTCGTAAGGATGAGGACCGGAGCAAGCACGCAAGCTAGTTGTTCACGGTTCCCAAAATTAGACTCCAAGGCTCCAACCTATGGCAAGCGACCGTCGGCGCAAGAACATGACGGTGGCCCGGCTAATGAACCCAGGCAGACTCTGGTGAAGGGATCCATAAGCCAGAGTAGCAAAGCGAAACGCATCCGCGTCAGTTGCAACCATACTCACACATCACCATGATTTGCACCTTCACCCCAAACGTCATCGCCACCACATGCACCTGCGCTCGAGACACAGCCATGAACCCCTCCATCAATGTTGCAACTGCAGAGGGGGCATCATCGACATCCCGCAGCAACACACAAACACACACACACACACACTCCCCTACCCTCCTCCTCGAGGAGAATAGAACAACACAGTGCCTTCAGCTGATACTCACTCCACCGTAGTCACGCTCGGCAGAGCCTGGCCACGACGCCAATCAGTTCTGCTGGAAATCCAAGAAAGCAGCACAGAAAGCATTGAGTGAAACAGCAGCTGCTCCCAATCCAATCCGACACTCCTACAATCATCGTCTCTCCTTCCTTCCCTCCTGTCATCGCTCCTCCTCCTCCTCCAATTCCCTCATTCCTTCATTCCTTTCTTCCTCACTCCCACTTCATATCCTGGCGCCGTCAGTCAATCCCATTCTGGCACCACAATCACTCGCAGATCATTCGATACTCAGGCAGTCAGCTCACTCGCAACGCAGTCAGTCCCGAAGCCAGAAAACGGGGGGTGCCACCTCAGCCGTGGAGGAGACCCACGTGGAAGTGCCAGCGTGGCGAGACACGTCTGAGAGGGATGATGACGTAACCATCAGGTGGAGGGAAAGGGAAGGGAAGGGAGCAGAGCAGCAGCAGAGTGAGGAATGGCGAGGAGCAGCAGCGGCAGTGAGGAGGACGAGTGAGGAGTCCGGAGCACTGAGGGCACCATTCATTCCGTCCCTCATTCCTTCCTTCTGTGTTTGTGTGTGTTTTTGGGGCATCGTTGCGGTGCCATTGTGGGATTGCATTGCATTGCCTGGCATTGGGCATCCTCATCCTCACCATGTTTGGAAGATCGGCGGCGCTGCTGGTGCGGGAGCTCACCACCGACGACCACCACCTTCGCCGCTTCAACGTACGATTGCCACTCTTTGTTGCCATTCTCATCTCTCTCGATCGTGTTTCTCTGTTGCCATGCCTTTGCGGTGGGGTTTCATGAGTCGGTGAGAATCCTTTTTCATGCGTGGGGTTTCGAGGATTTCATAATTGTGGCTGTGCTTTATGCTCTGTGAGATGCTCTCGGGGTAACGCATTTTGCGGAATGCAGCGCTGGAAGGCGTGGCGGTGTTATGGCCCCATGATGTCTCAGGACGGCCAGTGTGAAGTTGAGCACGTCATCTTGACATTCGAGATGAAGGAATTCTCGAGAACTCTTCGGTTTTATTGGTTTAGTATGGAGATGACATCCGTAGCGTCCTTGATGTTCGTGCTGCTGTGTGCTCGAGGTTTAGGGTTCAGGGCTTAGTTGTGTCTCGGCTCAATTCGTGGCGTCCTGGACGTTGTGAATTGGTTTCCATCGGGTGGAAAACTGCTGCTGATTCTTATCTGTCCCGGATAGCGGAATACCGGCCGTATGAAGTCGGAGTCTAACTGGCGCGTTTAGGATTGTGATGACAGTATGATTTGTTCGACAAAGTCATCTCGGAGATTCAAGAACACTTTCAGCAAGTGACGACAATCATGGAGTGAGTACTTTGCCTCATCCCGAATGATTCTCATGCGTTCAAGGCACACACAGGATTTTGTTTACGTGCAGTGAATCCAAGACCTAGAGCTTTCATGAAGGTTATACTCGTGTGGGTTGGGGCTGTCATTGGATGGGAGTTGGGTGGATGATATCTTCCGATCCCTTTGCACTGTTGATGATGATGTCATCAAGAATTCTGGGATTTCTAAGGCAGACATGTCCCATCTGAGTGGATTGTGCTAAGACTTGGTGTGAGAAACTGGTGTCAGCGTTGTTTTATTGGTCATGATCTGATTAATGTAGTTATTCTTTGCACAAGAGGAAGTCCAGACTTTCTGAATTTGGAATATTGCTACAGGAAAATGCAGGGAGAAAATGAGGATGGGCAAATATCTTCGGCAGATGAGAACTACAATGGGGCTCTGATTCATCATCAAAGTATACTTCGGAACAAGCGATGCCTGTTAGCTTACATGTACGAATTGCTTGTAACTCGATCTAGGTTTGCAGTGGGAAGCATCTGTGGATAAAGGAGGGGAGAAGTGAAAGGAGTGTATATTCTCTCATAATTAGAAGCTGAGGATACTGGGTTCTGTTGAATGACACTGTTCTTCCTTTATCGGGCCAGGTATCATCGTGCGAATAGGTTACAGCGCCTGAGATGGCAGCTGGGCGCTGTGCTTCCGGAAGATGTTAAAGAGCTCCTACATCCATCGGAGAAGGAGTTCGTCAAAAGCTACTCTGAAGCCTTGAGTTCTTACATGACAAAATTGGACATTGATCTCGCTGTGGTAAGTTCACGCATCTGTAGCTTTAGCTTCTGCTCGTTTCGTGTAAATATTTTCAGGTCACACTTGAATGACTTTGCAATGATCACCTCTGTTTAGGACATCACACCACCGAAGGACCCCTACATCCAAGTAAGAGTATTGAACAACATAGGCGAGGTACTGTTGGGCGACCAATCGACGTCCTTGGTGCGGAATTCTATCCATTTTGTAAAACGAAGTGAAGCCGAGACTCTTATTTCACAGGTACCTTTTGTAACCTATGCTTCATGCTCAAGTTTGTCCTGGACAGCGGTCGGGCTTATTTGTTTGACACGTGAACATGTGTAAGCAACCTCCTAGGTATTATTACATTTGTGTTCATGCGCTAAAGGCATGATGACCTGTCAGACGAGGTACTCGAAATTCCAGTCACTACTTTGGTCGTGTTTAGCTCAGAAATTTTTCACTAGCGAGGTAAAGTGATCAGTCTGCCCTTATGTTTTCTCCTTATTGAAGTCTGCCTTCGAATACCTCAAACTTTCTACACCCCCCACTGACGGTCACAATGTGCGCTCCTTGAATATCCAGGGCTTGTTGGAGGAATTCACAGGGTGACTCCAAACCCTTACTAGCTCTTGCGTGAGAAAAATCTCTGGGCGAGGACTTCAGCCACCATGGCCACGCTGCGTTCACGCTGTGGAGCTTATCATGTTGCACTGTCTGGTTGAAGCAAGCTAGCGCTGCCCAGTGTCTCAAGACGCTCAAGGCTGTAATCAATGAACCGTAATAGGATCAGATGCTGAACATAAATCTTCGAATGCTGAGCTTGCTCAAGTATTATCAAGCATGAGCAGTCCACAATTGGGTTGTAACTGTTCCTTGCCTTGGTTCTTCCTCCCCAATTCTGAATCATGGAAGCCAGAACAGAATTGCAGTACCCATAAATGAGGTAGTCATCTGTCTGGTCTGCGCCGGAGCTGAAGTTGCTTTATTACTGAAGTTATCCTTGAAATGGTTTTAGTTATATAAGTGGACAAAACATCAGGCGTAATGATCACCGCTTCGATATTTTAGCACTCTTATTCGTCTGCTTCACTCTTTCATGGATGATAGAGTATTTTCTGAAGAACCTCGATGCTTTGCATGCGTAGGAAACAGCTTTTTATGAGGGAATTACAACATTCTTTACATTAATTGAATTCAACCACAATCTTGTAGCACTTCCAGCTTTACAGAAGGAATTATACCAATTAAATTTCTTTTGTCATTTTTTGATGTTTTGAAATGATCATATTGTGGATCAATACACACTGGAACTCCTTGTTGCTCAGCTACTCTAGGATAATAACCGACAAACTATTGTAGAATGCGGAAACACTACCAGTGCCGTTTGGCCTTTTGAGATAAGCCAACGACACATTTACTAACTCCTCTTAGTTACTGAAATGTACTTTAAGAGACAAAAACTTAATAAAATGCATATCTCTTGAGTAATCGTAACATGGTATCAGAGCAGGTCTAGTACCCACTAGTGAGCATTGCTCCTAGTGCAGCCTTTCTTCTGCCATTAGATATCATCGTATCTCTCAGGTGAAGCATTGCTCCCTTACGAGATCGATAGTTCTTGTTTCATTATCCTAGTATGATCTAGACAGCATGTCGAGTGAACAATCGATGGTTACGATTAGTAAGAGTAATAAGCTAGAGGAAGCCGTAAACTATAACGTATGGAAACTCAAGATGAGGGCTTTGTTGAAAAGGGAAAACATGTGGGATTTAGTGGAGAGGAAAGTAGTTCCAATATCGTTTCCAACGTCAGTAGGATCATCCACTTTCACCGCAGAGCAGTTTAAAATACATAAGCTTTAATCTCAAGCTTTGATAGTGATGGCGGTAAAGGATGAATTCATTGAAACAGTGTCTGAGTCAAAAGATCCGGCAGACACTTGGCAGGCACTGAAGAATATTTTTGAAGCAGGAAATTCTTCACAAATATTGCTACTATCAACTAAACTACACAACATGCGCATGGTCAAAGGAGGGTCAATTGAAGAGTACTTGCAAACATCCAGAGACCTGAAAAGCAACTTGGTTGCTACGGGTCACAACATAGTCGATGAAACGCTAGTGCAGCTCACTCTGAATGGATTCCCTTTGAGTTATGAAGGGATAATCCAGAGTTTGATTGTGGTGGACAAACTACCTACCTTTGCAATGATTAGTTCGAAACTACTTAGTGAGTCTCATTGTCTTGAGTTGCGCAAGAATCGCTTAGGAGAAGAAGACACACTTCACACACATTTTCAGGAAAATCACACTCACTCAAGGTACCAAAACTCCGATTATGATATGTATAGAAACCACAATATTCAAATCAGCAACAACTATTCGACAGGAGCACAATTCAGAGGAAACAGTCGAGGATATCAAAGGGAACCATTCCACACCAATCAACGCAAGAACTTCAGATGCTATGTCTGTGGGTCTCCCGATGACCCAGCTCGACTTTGTCGCAATAAAAACACGGCTCATAAATAGGAGATTAATATCAATTTGCTCATGAATGAAGATCAAAAATTGTCAAATGTAGTTGAAGATGTCCAGATAGCGCTCACAGAAATTTCAAGCAAGATCGAAGGCAGTCAAGCATGGTATTTAGATTCTAGAGCAACTCGGCATGTAACAAGTAACAAAAGCCTCTTAGAATCATATACCCTAGAAGAACTAGGCATTGTAACTACCGCCAGAGGAGAGAAACACTCAATAGAAGGGCTTGAAAGCGCAAAACTTTGTATCAATGATGGCGAAATAAAATTACACAAAGTTCTTTATGTATCAAGTTTCAAGAAGAATTTAATCTCGATAGGCTGTCTAGCGGAATCAAAAAAATTGATTGCGTTCGCTAATCAACAGTGCTGGATCTTGAAGAAGAATAAAAGATTAACAATTGCAAGGATACGAGATCGCGGAAACGAACTATATAAAATCAATATTGTGTTCACAATACAAGACCATACCATGAAGCACCCTACGGAGACGATAGTTAATGATGACACTAAACTGGCCAAATTATGGCATCGGAGAATGGGACATCTCAACTACAATAGTCTTTGTAACTTATCCCTGAAAGATAAAGTCGATGGTCTACCCAGCATAAATTTCATGAGAGATATCTGCAAAAACTGCTTAGCTGGAAAACAGACCCATGAAAGATTTTCTAAACATTCGACTACAAGAGTAGTGAGGATTCTACAGCTTCTACACGCTAACCTTTGTTGGATCTATGAAAACTCCATCGTTAAATGGCGTGCGTTATTGTATTATATTCACTGATGATTTTTCAAGACTTTCTTTGATATTCTTTCTTTGGGTATTCTTTCTTCAAGAAAAATCAAAAACCTTTCATGCATTCACTCGATAAAAACGACTTGTTGAAAACAAAACTGGGCAACAAATTAGTGGACTACAAACAGATGGTGGCGGTAAATTTGTGTCCATTGCATTCAAAAAAAATTGTGAAGACCATGTTATAAAGAGACAATATACTCAACCGTACACTCTAGCGTAGAATGGTGTCGCAGAAAGGAAGAATTGAACGATTTTGAACGGGCTTGCTGTATGCTAGCTGCATGTAAAATTCCTGGATATCTGTAGAGTGAAGCAGTCCGCGCAGCAAATGTTTTGGTCAATCGAAGCCCCACGGTGGCTAATTTAGGAGTCACCTTATATGAACGACACTATCTAACTAAACCAGATCTCAGTTGCTTGAAAATCTTCGGTTGTCTCGTATTTGTTCACATACCAAAATTTAATAGAGGAAAACTAGATAGTCGAACAAAAAGATGTTTACTTCTGTGCCTAGATGAGCACACCAAGGCTTATCGATTGTATGATCCGATCTCTCGCAAGATTATACTGTCAAGAGATGTGACATGTGACGAAAATTGAATTGGTTATTATCATGTCATTGAGTGAAAAACCAAAGAGGAACAAGTAACGCTACTGCCCACAAGAGAAGATGCTAGCACTGATCAGAGTTATCATTAACCCAGAAATTATGATATGTCATCAGTAATAGAAACGGAATATACTACCAGTGAAGGAAGAAATTCAGAGTCAAATGCTGTCATAACAGAACCAGAACTGGATATTGTTGATTCATAGCCGAATACATCTGTGACCAGACAGCGAAGGTATCCTTTGCAAGAACGACACCCAAGCACCAAATTAAAAAATCATTTTGTGTTTTTAGCAAAACCCTTCAAACCTCAGGATTTCAAATAAGCTATTGAAAACAAAGACTAGAAATTAGCTATACAAGATGAAATGGATTCGATCACAAAAAATGAAACTTGGACCATTGTTGATTTATCAAAGGGGAAGAATGCTATCACATCAAAATGGATATTTTAAGTCAAACCTAAAAACAATGGCAAGCCAAACAAACTAAAAGCAAGACTAGTGGCGAGACGATTTGAACAAACTCAAGGAGTAGATTACTTTGACACTTATGCCCCAGTTGTCAGATGGAACACTGTAAGATTGATTTTTGCACTCGCAGCACAAAAGAATTGGAGCTTACAACAACTAGATGTGAAAACTGTGTTCCTAAATGGAGTTCTGGATGAAGAAGTTAATATGCAAATACCTCCTGGATTTCAAACTCAACAAGGAAAAGTTTGTAAACTAATTCGTGCATTGTATAGACTGAAACAAGCACTACTTGCTTGGTACTCGAAGGATTAAACAAAAGCATAGCAGATTATAACTCATATTTCTCCATAATTGACGGCCTATATACAATGGTGTTGCTTTACGTAGATGACCTTATCATCACAGGGGACAATACTAAAGAATTACAAAAGCTAACATTTCAACTTTTACAAACTTTCGAGATGACTAAGCTTGGAGGAGCTACTAGACATCTAGAGGCAGAAATCATACGAAATTCTTCTGGAATATGGCTTCATCAAGAAAACTATGTCAAGAAATTACTCCATCGCTTTGAAATGACAGATTGCAACCTTGCTAAGACTCCCATGAGCCCCACGATGCATCTTCAGATAGAAATGGATCAACCTCTAGTTGATAAAACAAAATATCAATCTTTAATTGGCGAGCTTCTCTATGCTTCAGTAATTTCACGGCCAGATGTTTGTTTTGCTGTTAACACTCTGAGTCGATATACCCAATGTCTGCAAGAAGGGCATCTCATTGCAGCCAAGAGAGTTCTATGTTATCTCAAGGAAACAGCTCACTTAGGAATATTTTTTCCGAAACACAATGAACTCACCCTTACAAGTTACACTGATGCCGACTACGGAAGGGATATTGACGCAAGAAGTCCAATATCAAGATTGATTCACAAACTGGGAAATGCACTAATCGAATGGTTTAGTAAACGATCAGCTACTATCGCACTGAGTACCACCGAGGCAGAATACAGGGTACTCTCTAAGGCTGCGAAGGACGCAATTCACCTACGCTGCATGCTCAATGAATTACAGATTAGCGGAGAAAATCCGTCACTCATATTAAGTGACAATCAAAGCTGCATAAGATTAGTTGATAATCTAGTGTTACATTCTCACACTAAACATATAGACATTCAATTCCAATTTATTCGCAAAAGAAGGCTTGCGGGAGATGTGACAGTTGACTATGTATCCACTTCGGAAGAACAAGCGGACATAACGATTAAACTGCTAGACACATTTATATTCAGATGCTTCCATGAATCCATCAGTCTATCACCGAAACTAGATTCCATCTAGCTATCTTTTCATGTAATCCTCAGTCGACCTCATGTCTCGCAAACTCTTAAAATGAGCTCTCTTGAACCGAATTACATGGGTTTTACATTCCTCCCATAATCGTATATTCCAGGTCTGAATCTAGGTCTAACACCATAAAATTTTCGAAATCTTACTCCTGGAGATACAGAATTAGACACAATGCTAGTATGTTGATTATTTGTTTCAAAGGGAGTATTTCCTCTATCTCTACACCTCACCAAAAGAATGTATAAGTTCTCCAACGATCTCGCAATAGAGGAAAAGAAATCCATGAAGATTCGACGCATCACCAACATGATAATCCATAACCCTAGCAGGAATAATTCCCACTACAAAAAATAATTACTAGAACACTACTCAATCGATACAAAACTAGCAAACAACGGAGAAACGAGCAATAGTCTGCTTACTGTGTGCAACATCTTGTTGCCAACAATCCAGTGTTGCAAACAACATTGAGTTTCAGTGCGAGAGAGTGCTGATCAATACACACTGGAACTCCCTGTTGCTCAGTTATTTTACAATAATAATCGTCAAACTACCATAGAATGCGGAAACACTACCAATGTCGTTTAGCCTTTCGAGATAAGCCAACGACACAATTAGTAACTCCTCTCAATTACTGAAATGTACTTAAAGAGACAAAAACTTAATAAAATGCATCTCTCTTAAGTAATCGCAACACATATGTTAATGGTATGCAAGTGTATACTGCCTTTTCAATTCTTTCTCCTATTCAACAAATCTAACATCCTCTGACATTGAGTACCTATTATTAATTCTTATATATTCTTTTTTATTGAAGTTAAATAGAAAACAAGAAAAAACCTAACGTCGAAGACATGATGATTTGATATAGATGCACGTATACTACAAACAAACACACGTTGTAGAATAAAACACTCAAACAAGAGATAATTTAATCCAAGCAATTCATCCAGCTTTTATCCTGTAAGGCATACTGCAACGTCTAACTCAATAGTTTGCAACGTAAAAGTAAATGTATTGCACATAAACTTCTAACAAACTAAATATTTGGGACTCTGAACCGATTAAAACTGGTAATAAATAATGATAAAAAATCAACATACTTGTGGGTTTTCATTATTTCGTTTCCATCTACATGTTCTACAAACACCCAGTTAAAATTTCATTCTGTAGATCACTAAAAGCTACAATCAACAAGGGTATATGCCAACGTGTTAGCATTCCATTGACATAACCAAAATCAGAAACTAATCAAATACCAGTTCTCTACACGGGGCAACACCCAAAATACTGAATTTCACTCAACCGATAAAAATTAATTTCCATCCGCAGGAATCTCCCACCCACGTCGAAATACGCGGCAATCTTTATTCCCAAGCCAATAGATGCAGCAGCCGGCTCCGGGCAACACCCCCAAAAATCTCAATCAACAACAGAGGCACTGCCCGGGGCACATGACCTCTGATTCCCACATGGGCACAACAAAACGACACCTTCCACGCATAAACCAACCCCATCATCTCATTCATCCAGACCAACGAACGAAAGCCCAAACGGCCAATGTACATCCATTCCGCTCATCCCAACTCACATCCACCCTTCATCCATCCAGCGGGGTTCAAATCCGCCCACCAACTCCAGCTCAGCAGGCGCCCGAGGACGTCCATGTAGCTGGCAGGAGACGCACCATTCATTCGCTCGTAAATGACATGCATTCGTCCATCTGCATGTGTTCATCCAATGGGCTTGGTATTCATCCAATGAGGCAGATAGATATTCCAGCTTGCGACAGCCTTGGCCAGGACACACACACAGAATGGGAAAGGAAGGGGAAAGAGGAAGGAAGACAAGCTCTGACACGAAGTAATCGACGAGGGAGGTGTGAGCTGCAAACTGGGCGGCAATCGTTGCACCTCGTCCGGCTCTCGCTCTGCAAATTGGCATTGTATTTGTAGTAGGGGGGTGAGCTAGGTGGAGCATAGTAGTAGTAGTCTAGGTGAGTGCCTTGCTTTTTGCCCTCTTCTTCCCCCTTGCCCAGTTGTTATTATTACTATTACATCACCAATGTGGTGTGATAACCGAATACTAAATCGCTCAGGCTCGGCGCGGGGCGGGGCGTGCCCTGGGAGTCATTCTCTCATGTTCTTGCACCATCTCTATCGCCAGATCTCCGCATTCCTAGTCTGACCTCTCTCTCTGCTTTCCTCAACCTCCATCTCTGCCTCCCTCGACCTCCATCTCTGCCTCCCTCGACCTCACTCACTCTCCACCCCATCTCTCCCTCTCTCTCTCCCTCTGTGTCGCTCTGTGTCTCACGCTGTCCTGGTTTCGCTCACTCTTCTGGTCTTTTCCTCTCCAGATATTGGTGGGGGAGGTTTGACGATGTGGGGGTCTTTTTTGATGGTGGTGGTGGTGGTGGAGTGAGGCAAGGGTCGTCTGTGGGACAGGGTTGACGATGCTTGTGATTCCTTTCTCAGGGAGTGGACGAGGGAAAGGTCAGAGCTTTTGAGGGGTGTGGGGGCAGCGGGCAGATGTGAAGCTGATGGGCCAGCCTGCTTACTGTGTGAGGTATGTGTTGGGACCAATGGTTGTGCTTGATGTGGTCGAGGTTTTGTTTGTTTGACTCCACCTTCTGTAGCAGCGGAGTAGTAGGAGTGGTGTTTGTTTGTTTGTTTGTTTTGTTTTTGTTTTTGTATTAATGTATATTATTCGTTTTATTTCATTTTATTTTGTTTTTTGGTTCCTTCTACATGCCTTCCTGTATCCAGCTGCCTTTGACTTCGACTGCCACAGGATGTTAGAGTGTTGGGTAGTGTGTTTTTGGGGGTGTGGGTTATGATCTGTGGCTTGGGAGTTGCGGGTGGAGGGTTTGGGTTGAGGGTGTGAGTTTGGTGGAAGCGGCCTGGTTTGTGAGTGGTAGTGCCCCCTGATGCAATGTTGAGGGTTCCAGTTGGGGCGGTGGTCCAATGTCTGCATAAGTCGGGTAGGAGTGTCAGGAACGGATGAAAGTTACATGGTAGAGCTTTACGTTGTCGTGGAACGTTTTGGGGCTGTGAGAATGGCTGCGGTATCGTGAGTGCTTGAACGTGTTAGTCTAGTCACAGTGGTGGCGATTTGCATCGACACCATGCTAGAACCTTTGAACGTCCTACTTCTAGTGAGATGATTGCTGTTGTCGGAACGCCGAACTGCGTGATCGTGGAGCAAAATCGAGCTAAACTGAGTGCCTGACTGAGGCTGTATGTCACTCGGTCCAGCTCCAGTTGATCTGTGAATACGAGAATATCTTCCAACATTACATGCGCTCAATAATGTGGGTATCTTTGTTGATCTGAATGCAGGGTTTGATGGCCGAATCCTTTAATGAACTCAAGTGGATGGAGCTGTTGAAGTCTTTGTAGACCTCTACCTAAATTTCTGTGAGTACTTTACTAATTATCTCTCAGAGGACTGTAGAACCACATGTTTATCTCATCGCCTAATGGAAGGCAGACAGTATTTGTGCATGATGGATGTTTGCTTCTGTTGATGGGATTGTATCCTTAGCCGTCCTTGGGATTCTACAAGAAGTGCACTTGAGTCGCTGTGGACGAGTCATCCCATGAACAAACTAGACGCTCCATGTTGTATCATGTCCTTGACAATGCATGTTACTTTCGACCTTGAGATATGGTAGTAAGATGACCATTCGTGAACTGGTATGACAGGATCAATACTTGGCGTATGTTGGAAAGACCAAGGTCGAGGAATAGACCAGTGATGACCCATCTTAGAAGAAGGGCAATTGCAATGGCATGAAACCCTGCTCCCTTAGTTTTGTTCTGGTCCACTTTGCGCCTTGATTGCTTCAAGCAAGTGAGCTATTAACCTCGAGTTAAAGTGAGGCAACGATGGGTGTCCGGTCAGGTTGGGCGTTATGTCTAGGGCTACTCTTCTCTACGACGATGTGGACAGTGCATGCTCAGTTTGTACCCACAGACCAAATCCTCATCGCCTGTGGTGCTGCATCAGACGTAGTAGTTGACGTACGCCAGTTTAAGGGAGATGCCCAGGCAACCTTGAAAAACCCTACACTGGATGCCCCGCAGGGAGTGCTGGCTTCCATCTCTGCTCCGAACACCAATCTTCTTAATCCTAAACTAGTCCAGCAGGCACGGATTTTTCCAGTCAATTCATCGTACACATTTCAAGTTACTCCTGGTCGACATTTTGTCCGGCTCTATTTCTACCCCTTTACCTTTAGCAGCTACACCCCCAATGCCTCAACTTTTTCCGTGACTGCTAACCAATATAGGCTGCTTAACGACTTTCGACCTGTGCTATACTCGAGCGATTCCAAACCCTTGGTTTTCAAGGAATACTCCTTGAATGTGACCGCGAGCAGTTTGGTGCTGAACTTCTCCCCGGCCTCTTCTTCTTACGCATTCATCAATGCGATCGAGGTTGTGTCCATGCCAGACAATCTGGTCCCAAGGCTTGCTTTGTCGTTGGCGCAGCCTGGGACACCGATCGCTTGGGGTTCTGCCAACACCGCCGTGGAGATGATGTATCATCTGAATGTAGGTGGAGAAGCAGTGACCCCACAGAATGATTCTTCAGGGATTTGGCGCACTTGGCAAGTCGATGATCCATACTTGTTTGGTGCTGCGCGGGGAAAAGCCGATTCCGTGATTGCTGCAACGATTCAGTACCCATCACAAGTGCCCGAGTACACTGCGCCGCCAGTTGTGTACCAATCTGCGCGAACTATGGGTGTCAGCGAGACTGTCAATGCTGCCTTCAATCTCACATGGACCTTGCCCGTTGACTTGGGTTACACTTATCTTGTGCGCCTTCACTTCTGTGAGCTATGGGTGACCTCGATTGGGTTTCGCGTGTTCAATATTTACCTCAACAACCGGACTGCAGAAAACGGCGTGGACATAATTGCGCTGACAGGAAATTTGAACTATGCAGCGTTCCGTGATTATCTCGTCAGAATGGACACGGGTGTAGCCAAATTATGGGTGCAAATAGGGCCGGCGCCATCTTCCTCATCAAGTTACAAAGATGCGATCCTCAATGGATTAGAGATCTGGAAGCTCAATTCCACCACAGGGAGTTTGGGGGGTGGTTCGGGTGTCAATGCCGGAGAGGATGGTGGTAGTGGTATTCAAACTGGAGCTATTGCCGGAGCCGCTGTGGGAGGGGTTGCTGCTATCGCCTTGGCCGCAGCGTTGATTTTCTTTTGTTGTTGCCGGAAGACCTCCAAATTGTCTCCCACCAAGAGCAGGAAGAATGCACCACCGTCATGGCTTCCTCTTCCGCATCATGGTATCTCAGACACCATGGCGAGTAAGATGTCCACCGTCTCTCAGAAGAGCGGTACTGGAAGTTATGTGTCAACTGTGCAGGGTTCCAATCTGGGACGGTACTTCACCTTCGCGGAGCTTCAGGAAGCCACCAATAATTTTGATGAATCTTTGATATTGGGAGTGGGTGGTTTCGGAAAGGTTTTTAAGGGCGAGATAGACGATGGCACTAAGGTTGCAGTGAAGCGAGGGAATCCATGCTCTGAGCAAGGATTGACGGAGTTTCAGACCGAAATTGAGCTGCTTTCTAAGCTGCGACATCGGCATTTGGTGTCATTGATTGGGTACTGTGAAGAGCATTGTGAGATGATCCTCGTTTATGACTACATGGCTAACGGTCCCCTCCGGGGCCACTTATACGGGACCGAACTCCCAACTTTGTCATGGAAGCAGCGTCTGGAAATTTGCATCGGTGCCGCTCGAGGCCTACATTATCTGCACACAGGGGCAGCGCAAGGAATCATTCATCGTGATGTGAAGACCACGAACATTTTGCTGGATGAGAACCTGGTTGCCAAAGTTGCGGACTTTGGTTTATCGAAGACAGGTCCAAGTCTCGAGCAGACTCACATTAGCACAGCAGTGAAAGGAAGTTTCGGATATCTGGATCCTGAGTACTTCAGGAGGCAACAACTGACCGAGAAGTCCGATGTCTACTCTTTTGGTGTGGTGCTCATGGAAGTTCTGTGTGCACGGCCTGCGATTAATCCGGCTCTTTCTCGCGACCAAGTTAACCTCGCGGAGTGGGCACTGCAAAAGCAAAAGTCTGGGCTGCTGGAGTCAATCATGGATCCCAAACTTGTTGGCCAGTGCAGCCGCGACTCAGTGCGTAAGTTCGGTGAAACAGCAGAGAAATGTCTTCAAGAATGCGGCGTGGATCGGCCAGCCATGGGTGACGTGCTCTGGAATCTAGAGCACGCTTTGCAGCTACACGAAGTTGCAGCATCAGGATCAGCTGGGTCCACACAACCGAATTTAATGGATGCTAGCGCCCCGATGGTCTCTCTAATGCCTCCGGCCATGCCTACACATCCTCTTGATGACGATGATTCTTCAGTATCGAGCGAGAAACATATTCTGGGCAGTGATGATGATGACTTACTGGAGGATGCCTCGGCAAGCGCAGTCTTCTCTCAGTTAGTTAATCCACAAGGAAGGTGACTCGGTTCTACGTGTAAATCAAATTCATGAATGCACCCCATGTATGATGATCTGGGTAGACATAGCGTCCTTGGACACTCCGCCGCTTATAATTGAGCTGGTTGTCTGTTTATTAGTTCCAGGAAAGCTATTGCTGTCAAGTGCTATTGCAAAGGAATGTGCCCTTGCCCATACATGGCAACATACAGGGTTTGATCAGGTCCCGCTTTTAGGTTTGAGCCCACCTGCATGATGTCAGATCCAGCTGCTGCAGACAAGTTGTAGCTGCTCTGGCGCTTGCCCAAGGACGAATGAAGACGATCGATAATTTAATCAGCCAGGTCGTAGCGGATGGGGGAACAGTGGGAGTCGGCTATGTTCTACTTGGGTGACTCACAGGTTGAATCTTCGTTACATAGCTCAATACATATGATGTCTGCGTGAACGTTTAGACTACATCATGAACTGCATCTCCTTTCCTCCATTATAGAGACATTGATTAGGTAGAGAGGTACCTAAATTGGTCTTCTGAAATGGGCACAATCTGGAAGTAGTGTTCATTTCAGGTGTATTGGATTATACGTTTTTCTAGGGGAGTTCCAGTCAGTTTAGGTACGTCTACCTTTTGTAAGCTTGAGCGCTTGCACTCCCAAGGCTGGCAAATAGTTCCTATTTTTGTTCCTTGTTTTTCAGCAATTCTCAATTCACGAATTTTTTCAACTCACAAACAGCACATGAAAGCGCTGAGTGTATTCAAGTCTTTTTTGTATTGTAGATCAAACAATGTGCAGGGCATATGTCCAGCGCTATCTGCTGTTCGTCTGTCAATATCGCAATTGAAGTTGTAGTTGTCTTTCATAGGATAGTAACGCACATTATCGATACATCCTGAGATTTTCTCTGCATCCATGGTCTCCATCTTATGAACCTCTTTGCAGTACCACTCGGAACAAATTCTATTCGCAAGTTGCTCCACGCCCTCATCTTTTATTGCTCATTTTTATAGTTGACAATCTAGGACGAGCTACAACTAATCTCTGAATTAGGGAGACCTGTCGCTAGTTTACAAAATCACGAATTTCGAAGCTAGATCTGCAGAGTCGACTACTGCGAAAAGGTCGGGAGGGTACAGGAAAGGTCGTTAAAATTCAGTTCCTGAGATTCATGTTGGACTCGTTGGAAACCTGAGACTGGACTGGGGCTGGCACCACTACGAGAACCCCACCTATTGCATTCAAAACGGGGCGGCCTCCACTGCAGACGTGCGATTCTGGTGGCTCTTGAACGAATGTGTGAGAACCTGAGGTGCAGGTCAAGTATTACAAATCTTCATAACGTGGCTTGTGGAGATGGAATCAATGACTCGACTGATGTCGGAGGAGGACGTACGAAGATAAAACTTTTGATTGAACCCATTATAACCCAGGGATTCTTCAAAAATATCTGTTTCCTTTTTTTATGTCTTTGCAAGAAGCACCTGCAATGAGACACGTAGCTGGGTTAAGCTTCATGGATCCACAGTTTGTATAACAATTTAGAGGCGATGCAGCAGTATCAACGAACAACGTTCCGCAACCTTATGGGACAAGTCACCTATAAGCAAACCAGACACAGCGCTGTAACTCTCCCTTCGTCCAACAACCACAAGTTAAGAAATACAAGGCAATGGCACATTATCGAAGCAATACCAAGTGTACCACGCCCACAACCAAAAACCCTAAGCAACGCTTCGAAGAACCTGGACTTACTACCAACGAGGAGCAAGGCAGCAAAAACTTTGCAACTTGGATTTCTCGACAACCAGGTAAATACTGCTTATCTTTACTTGCTCCCCTGTGTACCTGACACAATACTCCTCTCACTGCAAGACCAACTCTCTGAAGCAAAACGATTGTCTAAATTCAGGAAACCGACGCTGACCCACACATCATCGAATGCTCAAAAACTTGACAATCTTCCGAGGGCCGATGTGACTGGTCTAATATTTCAGCTCAAAAATCAAAACTTTGGATGCAAGACGAGATTGCTAAACAAGTTACGCAAACAACATTACGAATCATCCAGTCCGAATCATGACTTGCGAGTGAAGGAATCAAAAGCGGACAAGAACATAATGGAACATGTTCCAGGCAAAGTGCTTGATTCGGCAACAGGATGAGAGGTTCCTTGGAGTGCAGACAGTTAGGTACTCTTGGTATTCGGTGTCCACAGTTTCATGCATTGATTGAGGTAATTAGCGATGCTCGGCACTGATGGTTGGCTTGTCTGAAGTGCACCAACTGGTTGTGGCCTCCAGCACAAACTGTGTGAAGCATTTGTGTTGTGTTAAGTGGTAAAAAGCTCATGGTGATGGAGCTTCTGGTGAACGATTTCAATGCATGGGCAAACTGCTGGGGAACATTGCTGTGATATATATTTATATATATTGAAACATCAGAGAACTTTGTGCTAAAATTCACGAAATAATTCAAAGTATTTTTTTTAGTTGGAATTCTTATGTAATAATTTGTTTGCTGGTAAGCAATTATTTTTCAGGCTCATGCTACACACACATCCCAAATTGCTACATGCACACCCCAAATTGTTATTTGCACATCCAATATAATAGAGGTCTTTCATTTGTTGGTTTGTTAATTTGACTAACAATTGATAAGAAAGAAAGGGAGGAGTTCCAAGACTTGCCTCGAGATTGAAACTTGTGTTGGGACAAGAAAGAGGGAAAGAACTCCGACTTGTGTTGGGACTAGGACTTGCATTAGGATTAGGACAAGGAAGAGGAGAACAAAGTTCAAGACTCATGGTGGAACAAGAAAAAGGGGAAGGAAGTTCAAGACTCATGTTGATACTAGAAAGGTGAAAGAAGTCATCTCCAAATCCGTTTGTTGTAGATAAGCAAAGCAACCAATTAGAGACCTTTGATGTTCATATATCAATTTGGGATGTGTGGTATTTGAACCTTATTTAAAATATTCTAAATATATTTATAATAAGGTGTCTATTTATAATACTACTAATATTTTCTTAGTCAATTTAATGCATGATGTAACTATAATTATATTAGAAGTTATTAGAAGATATAAATAACAAGATTTAGATATTTAAGATATTTTGGTTAGAAATTGATAAAAATCAAGTAGAATATAAATAATATTACAAGAAGTATATCTTAATTTTAAGAAAGAAGAAAATATAAGTGAAATTACTACCTATACATTTGCATGCACCGCAATATATTATTATAAGAATATTTTACATTATACTATTCAATTTTTTTAAAAAAACATTCTACTCATTATATTAAAAAAAACATGTTTATGTTGAAATCTTGTATTTTTAACAATATTAAATATTTTAAAGAATTTATTAAAAAAATAGATTTAGTAGTAGATTTTAATAATAATGGCACCAATCTTTTAACAACATATAATATATATATATATATATATATTTAGTTTAATATTGGTTTTTTTGTAGATTTTATGGATTTTCTTTACATTTCTAACAAGATAATTTTAATTGTATAGTATTTAATATGTTTATGATACAACTACATTTCTACTAATAAGTGTAATTTTAAATCTTATTCTTCAAATTTATGTTAATAATGTTTATTCTTATTATTTAATATTTTTACTACAAACTATTAATCCACATTGATATATTGATTGAAACAAACACTTAATATGAGCAATCTATGAGGTCATCATGTAACACATTAATTTTTTTTCAAAAATATTAAAACCAAATCTAGAATTTTACACTTAAGTTATCTGTGTGTATTTACATATAGATAAATATAAATATATATATATATATATATATATCTACAACTTGTTTGATTAAACCACACATTTGTATTGCTTATGATAAATATTGAGCAACGAATTTCCATCATTCAAATTATCCCAACCCTCAAAATGCCACGTGTACATGAATAGCACTTAGCCAATCGGCTTACAAGCGTGTGATTTAGTCAACTGGAGAAACTCTGCATTCTAACGTAAAAAAATGAGTGACACTGTTCCGAAGTGTACTCACTCATCTAAGAGTCGACACTTTGCAGTGCAATGAGCTCATGGTGAAGAGCTTTGATTATTGCGGGGCTGTCACGATAAGGATCCTTCCATGCTTTCCGCTGCCCTGGTCATGCTTTGATCCCTAAAATCCAGCCTCTAAACGACGTAATGTAACGCAATTTTTTTCAAAAAAGAAGCTGCCGAGTTTGTTGTTGCACGCCAACGTACCTACTTTCAGCATATCTAACCAGAAGACATAGGATATGTCTGGAGATGGAACTTATTGTCTCCATGTACTGTACCCACAAATGTAGTTGAGATTCGCAAATCGGTACACGTGCCATTTCATCTGTTGTTCACCGATCACATGTTTATATTTATTGGGATAGGACACGTGAACAGCGCCTGAATGAAGTGGGTTTCCGAGGAGCTCTGCATGTGTCACTTCCGTGGAGCATAACACGGAAGGTGGCAATGCACACAAGCAATAAAAAATAACAGGGAAGTACCCCTGCGGAGACGGGAACCAACTAAAAAGAAATGTTCCTCGACACGTCTTGAAAACGATTGGATAGTACATGTCTCACTAAACATGTCTCAAACTGGAACAGTATTTACATAGGTGAAAGGCATTCCTCGTGTGCTATATGATTTGTGTCTAGAGTCATACCAAATGTAAGGTAAGCTGGTAGATCGTTTCATGTAGGAGTTGGTAGATCCTGCAGAATCGATCACTGTGGTACACCTAATGATCACCAAAAAAATCTCCTGTAGTTTAAGACTAACCTTGTTTGCTACTCTGCACCTACACTGTGGCTATCGCGTTGGGCTGAAAGTGAGCCTCCGAAACCACATTATGTGTAGCATAATACAAGTGCAACGGTTTGTTGCGATAAAGCACGGATGTGGAGGGAACAAAATTAGCCAGTCCTTGAAAAGGACAGGGTGGTAGCTTGAGCTCTTCGGACAAGTCGTCTGCTAGGACCTGAAATGACTTATCATAAAGGAGTAAACCCAGCTCATCACGGACAGAAACACACCGATAGGAGGGGAACTTGGAGCCCCACTTCGCAAAAAAACTCTCGAACAACACAGCGTCCTCGATCTTCTGCTCTTTGGAAGGATTCAGCATGCAAAAGGAAACTCCCTTCGTACCCTTACAGTCATCCTCGCGAACCACCATGTATACTGAGCCCTTGCATTCCACAACCTGCACTTCGATCTTGCTTCCTGGACATCTCGGCTCACATCTATACAGAAGCTTCTCTCGGAAAATGCCCTCATAAATGTCGTACACGACCAGTCCCATGACGTTGCTACTCCTAAGAATCCCCTCCTTGGCCACGAAGTAGAAAAAATTGTCACAACATGCTCCCACTTGTGCTGGAAAGCTCAGCTTGTACTTCCTTTCAATAACAGACAAGTTGTTGTCGATGGACCACGTTCGTGTGAGGGATTCGTATATCTCCATATGCGCTAAGCCTTGACAGGAGGTTCTTTTAGTGAGGACCAACAACTTGTAGGAGCTTGTGAATCTATTGAAGATCATGTGCGTCAACAGCCAGTTATGCTGCATCATGGAGTTACCAACGTGCATCGCCGGTAGCTCTATACAGCGCGCTGTGATAGGGCTGTACACAAACAAACTTGCAATTCCTTCCTCATTCACGTCTCTAAAACACAAAAGTCCACCGTCACCTGCAATCAGTAAAGTGACCACCTGATCAGCGGATATGCGTTAAAACTGGATAACCAGTTCGATAAACTCTGCCTCATAACTCCGTATTGCATGATTGATTTACCCTAAAGTGGCATCAGCTCGAAGTTATTTGTTACATCCATTACGCATCCAATACTCTGCCGCCCACGAAGAAAATACAAATATTCCTAGCTCCGACAATTACTATGATTAGGTCATGCTGCCATGCTTCCTTGGTCTACTACCATCCTAAAAGAACATTTCAAGTAAACTCAATTGAGGCACTGTCAACGAGGCAGGGAAACCTCAGTGCAATATACTCTTTATACATTTATTGTTTTCAGGACTAGACAAAATGAACCTGCTCGAGAGAGATGGAGTGAGTAGGTTGACAGATACTGTACGTGATTTACAGACAACCGCGAAAAAATTACAGAAGTTAACAAACAGACAGACAGAACAGAATAGATAACCGTGCTTGATTAAGCTTCCGTTGACAGGGTATGACCAACGTACTATCAAACAATCTCTATCGATCCTATGAAGATCGTTGCAAGTCTGCTAAAGAACTAGGAACCACGCCACTGGAATCTCAAGATAGAAGAACAATCCCTTACCTGCTATGCAATCTTTGGCTCGAGGGTCAAGTCCCCGCATTGGAGGCATGCACAGCCACCGATTCCAAGCCGCGTCATAAGCACAGCACAAGTTCTCTCCCTTGATTGTAGCAAAAATAAGAAGGTACTGAGTTTTCGGAGAAAGGACATCCCAAGACTTAACACACGATCGAGCTTCTTGAAATTTCTCAGAGAACACAAAATCCTTGAGCCGTTTGTTCACGGCGCGGCACCTAAACAGACCAGGAAACGACATGAATGCCACTACCTTCTCCAACAAATCGTCAGGGAGAAACTTCCAAAGTCCTGGATCTAGAAACGCAGCGGCCAAAGGACACGATTTCCGCTTCTTGGGCTCCGGGTGCACGGACTTGTGAGAAGATGACATCGAGTTGGAGTGATGACATCCAGGAGTAGGCGGCGGAGCCAAAGAATTGAACCTTCCACTACGAAATCTGCTGCAACTTGGTTGATAGTGCCTCACTTGATAACTCATCACGGTGGATTTGGAACACCACCAACTAAATAATTCTATGCCTCGCGCACCTTTCCTGCATACTCCACTCTACTCGTGCTACGATGGCACACGGAGGAAACACTTATCGAAAAGCTTCGTCCCTCATGTCGAAGAATTTCTCCAAAAATAAAACTGAAAACAAGACTCGAACCAACTCCGACAAAGTTTCACGCTCTAGATGGGCACACAGCCGGTTATAAAATGGTTTGAACCAAGAGCTTCATCCAAGACCTTGATTCACCGCAATATCAAACATGTTCTTTCTGCCCCTCACCATAGCCCACAATTGCTGCAACGCCAAAAGCGCAGTCCACCATAAAATCTAAGTAGGGGCGCTTTGCATTTAAAATTGGAGCTTGCTTGCAACCCTCCCTAGCAGTCGATACCTCTTATGCGTCGCTCAAAACGAAAGAAGAAAACCGGTGCACCATCAACGTTATTTAACCGGCTAGCCCCTTTCACGGGAAGAAAATTTTCACCGAATAATAGCGCCTTACAAGAGAGAAGATGGAAGAAGAAAACCCCCGTCAGAAATGAGACAAAGCTCTTTGAAACAGCGAAAGAAGAGTTTATGTGAAAGTAGAATAGCAGTGCGACTTGATCAGTCCAACTCCCACGACATTCGCCCGTTTGCACGATACTTCACACCCAAGCTTTATCCCCCTCCCTACCCTTAAACTCGACCTAATCATACGTACAGCACCTACACTCAATTCAGTTTCTTCGTCATCGCATGTTTTCTTCGCTTGGCACTGCGACCTCAGCAGGAAGCTTTCACAGAACAACCCGACTGATGCAGCGGCAGCTTCCCAGCCATGCAACCTCTTCGCTTTCGCATCTCCGGTTAGCTACTACTCACTTTTTCTCTCTCACACACCGGAAACGCGAAATGTACTGTAACGACAAAAAATTGACTGAATAGCTCCACCAAAAGCTGACTGCGCATCCAGCCCCTCCGCTGGTTGGCTCCCACAATACCGCTTGCGTCGCAACTACATAACAATACGTAAACAATTCATGACAGCCGAACAACTAACCACCTCAACCCAAGCAAAAGTCAAGAAATATTTTTACCACGACAGCCAACTCCGATTGAGGGCAAAACTGCAACTACTCCTCTCCTGGGAAGAAAACAAAAATCAAACCCAAATTAGAAAACAGTCTGACAACCAAACTCTATTACAAACTACCTCTTCAGAGTCGCCTCCACTCTCATGCAACATAGTTTGCTAACAGTAGTGACAGTAATTCGTCGGAATCTGGACGATGCTGCATTGCGGCACATGCAAGTCATGAGGCTGGCCGATTCTTTTGGTGACCACGGCGAGTACCGTGTGGTTGACGAAGATGGAAGACAATTTCGTCCCGGAAAAGTCGAACTGCTCGAAACCTGCCTGCTTGCAAACTGCCTACCTTTTGGTTGATTCCAGCCTTCCGTTCCTTTGGTCTTGTATCTAGCGAACGGGTTGACCATGTGACGGAGAAAGCTCCAGATGCAGTGTGAAAACGTCAAAAGAGCCCGAATCGCGAGGAAGGGTCAGGGGTAGCAATCACGGGCCGGGCCGGGCTGGGATTGGCCTTGACCCGGGGGGTACGTCTCCGCCGGTCAAGGGTGTCGCTCCACAAGTCCAGCCTCCCTTTCGGAAGCCCGTTCCATCTAGAACGTTTTGACGAGTGCGCCCGCGTGGCGATTCCGATGAATGAGCGGCTTGATCCCTCCTTTTTCTTCATCCACTAAGGGGCCACTTCACACTATGGCTGTTTGGTCGAGCGAATCTTGGACAACTCCACATTAACTTGGGGCAAAATGTCAATGTAAAAGTCATTGAAATGTGATAAATATGACTTTTGGCTTATTTTTATTTGATTGAGAATTGATTGTCCATTATTTTCCAATTCGTTTTCTTATTATGCACACAAATTCTTGGCACCATAATTGTCGTGAAGTTTTGTCATTTTGGCAAATTGCCTCTAGTGTGAAGGTCCAGGGGTCTCTCTCATTTTTATTTATTTATTTATTTATTTTCTCTCTCTCTCTAACAATCATATTGCTGAAATCCTTTGTTAGCTCAACAATTGGCCACAATGTGAAGTGGCTCTAAAATTCTTGTTACATGTTCAAGTAATATCCTTGAGGATAAAGCTTGAGCTTAAGATTTCTATTTTCTATATAAATAATTATTCTACCTCATTATTATTAGAGGTTTTTCTTTCTTCTTTCTTTCTTTCTTAAATCTTTGCATGAATTTGACGCCTTGCATGTCCTTCCATTAAGAAATTGGTTCATGTTCCACTTGTCAAAATGGCATTAACATGACTTCATCATTTGGCATATTTTCAATCTACCTTGACACTTGTGCACCCTAAAAGATGGAATGAACTCAAGGGGGACATAATTTTAAAACTTTTTCAATGGCTCTCTATATGTCAAATGACAAGATCAAATGACAGCAACCTTTGGTTGAGGTCTAATGGGAAGTAAAACCCAATTACCACCATGCCATGTAGGATTGCAATGTCTCTCTCTTTTCAACTCCATGGGTGAGTTTGTGGTCAATTGGCTTGATTATGATGAAGTGTTACAACAACTACTCAACAGAACCTGTCTGAATTCACTCTCACAAGTTGTTCATCATTATTTCCCCCATATTCTTTTCTTCACACTCATGCATACATGGTCATTGGGCGTTGAATGAGGAAATGCATCTGCCTTGTTGCAGAAGCTTAGACTCCAGCTTGTACTGGTCACCCCAGTTCAACTTCAGGAAGAGGTCATCTTATTAAAAGGTTGTGTTTGAGTGGATGGAAATGGGTTATTTTATATTGTGAGTATGTCTGCATGTACATATACAAGTATATTGTTGAGGAAAACAAAGCAAAAAAAATCCTAGCCTTCATATTAATTTATTGCTTTTTGAAACTTTTTGGCATCGCTACAAATTTGGTTAGAATATTAATCAAGCATGTGATGTTAAATAATAAATTTTCAACATAAAAGCTCATCAAACAGATTAACTGTTTGTCAAAACATTAACTGCTTGCGAGAGATGACACTTCACAAAGAAATAGCCGCTCAAGCATTCAAGCATTTTCACTTTGTATGTGGGACAGCAGTGCCATCAAACTTCCCAAGTGGACAGTGAAACGAAAGAAACATATCGATCTGGTACAATCAGCCTTCAGTGCTCTCATGTGGATCTGATCACTGCACATGAATTGCACAAAATTAGGGTTTCGCATGATCAAACTGTGCAGGAAGAATACAAAGGTAACGGTTCGTCATGTCCAACTGCGTGTGCAGTTTGAGCTCCCAGACGACGACGACGACGAAGAAAAAGAAGGCGTTGTTGCGGCAACGTGAGCAATGAGAGCTTCAAATTGGCATTGAACAGCTCAGCAAGCACACAAAATCCAACGAGATGGGTGTAGAATCTCAACCCAGTAGTACCCAACTTGTTAGATGAAGAATCTCAACGCAACTTGTTAGACCACCATGTGAAAATGAGAAACCAGCTGGTCAGCCATAAAATTGCGCTTTGATCGGTGAAGTCGTTGAGACTCATGAGTTTGGCAGTCAGGTGAACCGGTTGTATCGTCTTCCTCGATGCTCGCGGAATCCCAGTGCACACTTCGGAGCTTGTAGAGCAGTTGTGAAAAACTGGGTTTGCATTCTGTGCTGATTGCATTCTTTTTGACATCTTGCAACAGTTTGCAATGTTGCTCAAAAACACAGTTGTTGACTCTATGTCCTCTCCATACGTTTTCGTTCGGGGCTTAGTTGTGTGTTGGTACAATCACGAGCGTTTCAAAGGTTGAATCAGCAGAGAATGCCGGCAGCTGACTCGCACCCTGCGACTCCGCAAGTAGAATGAGATTGCATCACAGCTTGAACATGCATCGAGGGGTTATACTAGTTCTATTTTGTGTTTCAGTAGCAGTTTCTACTAAAGAACTCGCTCTGGTTTTGTCAGTCTATGCAATTGCTCTGGATAGATTTTGCTCTGGAATACCTGAGAATATCTGAAGTTATACGAACTGGTGATGAAAACTCTTAAGTTTGAAAGCCATAAGTAGGTGGTAGAACCTTCTGCCCAAACTTGAACCATTGTGGATAATAATTTTTTTGAAAATATTAATATGTGGATTAAGTTTAGGGATATTTTTCCATATTCATGTATTTTGTAGGCTTAAACGTAACTTAACGCACCCCCATTGAGGTCTCCCTCCCTCCCATTGAGGTCTTGGCTCCACTTTGGGTCATTTAAAAAGTAAATAAATAAATATATTGATATATTTCTAACCAATTAACTAAAGAATATGAAAAAAAATTATTTTAAAAGAGAAGATTGATAATTGATAAGAATTTGATAAATATTGTTTATTTTCAATATAGGCTTTATTAGCAAATACAATGGCACATATCTAATAGGTGTATATCACAATTGAGAATATATTAGTGCCAATATAAAACTTATATCTGAATATAGTTTCTACTAATATAATGTTATTGAAGTGCTTTCTACATTAGAAAATTATCAACTATCATTAAATAGAGTGGACAATATTTATTAAAGAGATAATATTTATTATAGTAAGATTTAGTGTTTTGAAATCTAAGATATCAAAATTATGAGAATATATAAATAAATATCCAATTTCGAAGGGCCACATTGCAATTATTTTTGGAAGTGTATGATGGTGAGGAAAATACTTAGAATCTCAATAAAAAAAGAAATAATTTCAAATAAAAAGACAAGAGTATATAAAGTAGAGATAAATTAGACTAGAAGACAATAACCAAGTAATTATTGTAAAGAAACAAAAAGACTTAAAAGCCATGACAAAAACTAACTTAAGAGATGAGTTGACAAGAGATGAGATGAAAATCTTGTCAATCTTGTCAATCTTATTAACTCAATTTTATTTTTACTTATTCTATTTATAAGGCCAAATGCAAATTGTCCAAACTCTCAATACCTTTTTACATAAACTACCTAAAAAACTTAACAACCAAGGTATGGAAGCCCTTTCAAAAGCTTCTAATAAAATTTGTTACATAATTTACTCTAGAAGCTTTCTATACAAGCTACCTAATATAATTTGATTCCTAAACTATATAAGAAGCTTTCTATAAAAGCCACCTAATAAAACTTGAATCTTAAGCTATCTATTAAATATTTATATTATTTTTTAAAAAAAACATCTATTAGATTGTAGAAGATTTATTAAAAAGGTTCTAAAATCTTTTTTAATATACATGTTGATGAAAATATTTTTTTTGTAATAATTGGTATAATTTAAATGAATATAACAACTAAATAAGATTATCCACTCATTTTTGAGTATTTAAAAATGGCTTAATAGGTAATAATATATTTTATTTCTATAAAGAGAATGTGTCTTATTACAGTATAAGAATTCCATCGATAAATTTTTTAATTAATTTTAGAATTTAAAAACAAGACTAAAAGAAGGCAATTTATTTGTACAAGAAAAATATAGACTATATAAAATATATAATACTAGAAGAATTCTACATAGATTATCTTACTTACTATTTTCTTAACTTATTTGACATGCATTACAAAGCATAGGTGTTATTCTATATATAAATAAAATTATGTAAAAATACATAAATTTAAAATAAATAAGTATTTAAACAAGAATTTTAATATCAATACTATTGATTTATAAAGAATTTGGTAGACATCAACAATAAAGAATATTAAAAAAGATGAATAGATTTTTTAGAATAAGATTCTTGATTATTTTTAAACTAAGGAAATAAAAATAAATATAGTAAAGAATTATTTATATAAAGACTAATCCAAAAAATTAAAATAATATCAAAAAATACTGATACATTTTAGCAAATTATTTCAATAGGTAATTTATATTCTTGTCTTTATCAATTAATAGTATTTTTATAATTTGTTGGTATTGAAATAGATAGAAACTAATATTATATACATTAATATAAGTGATAATATAATTCCAAAGATAGATTAGCATAAGTTCTTACTATTTTTCTTAAAATAATATCTCTTTTAAAAAAATGAAATAAAAAAGAATTCATTTCTATAAACTATGGTAAAAATAGTAGTATAATTACTAAGATAAAAAAATATAGAAATATAAGTTGAAGATAATCTTATTATTTTTATAGAAAGTAATATTTTTTTAATTTATTATTAGAATAATAGCACATCAAAAAACTAAACATGTTCCTTGAAAATAAGTACTTGTCTACAATAAAAACTATTTGGACTTTATAATAAGATTTTTGAAGCACATGTTACATGTGATGAGATATCTTAGAAATAATTTATAGTAAATGGACATGCCTCTAGCTTATATATATATACAAAAAAATTAGTCAAAAATATATTTAAAGAATATAACAAGAATATACTAATACTTGTATATAAGAATTGTCCAAGAGAGGTATGAATAATTCTAAGAGCATTAGAATGTAGATTGAAAAAAATTTATAGCTTATATTCTACTATTAAGATACTAATACAAAGATTGAAGAAGTTATACAAAATATATATAAATATAAAAATATAAAAATATAAAAATATAAATATAAATATATAAATATAAATATATAAATATAAATATATAAATATATAAATATAAATATATAAATATATAAATATATAAATATATAAATATATAAATATATAAATATATAAATATATAAATATATAAATATATAAATATATAAATATATAAATATAAATATAAATATATAAATATAAGATGTTAAATAATATTAATATTTAAAATGATAATTTAATAAAAAAAAAATTGATACAATTGCTATAGATCCAACTTTTTCTACTACTTACAATGAGATAATAATAATATTAAAAATAAGTATCATGTTAAGAATCATTTATAAAAATTCAAATATATATATATATATATATATATATATATATATATATATATGACTAGGTTTTAAAAAATGAAAGTCTTAAAGTTTTATTTATAAAATTTAAATTATATATATATATATATATATATATATATATTTATATTTATATAATATATTCCTTTAATATAAAATTTAAAGCTTAAGATTAGAAAAAAAAATGTAGAGTAGTTGTTTTATTTTTAATTTTTTTTATTATACAAAAAATAACAATAATTTTCTTTTGTATAGATCTTCTTTCAACATAGAAAAAAATATACATATGTTGATGGTAGTTCTTAATATATACTATATATTAGTAATTAGTATCTATTGATAAATTCAAATAATATTGTTGTAACTTTTTGTAAATTTTGGTCATGAATAGAATATATTTATGTCTCTTAAATAAGTATTTTAAAAGAAAAATTGTTACAAAACAAGGATTATTTAGATATAAAAAAATTATAAATATTATTAGTAAGTTAATATAGATAATAAAGTTTTCTATTCATTTAAAACTTTCTAATAGTTTCTCTGACATGTTCATATTATTGGGCTTAAGCTATAAGTATATCTCAAGTTATTAAATATATATCCCAAATTACTATATGTACATCTAAGAAAACAAAGGCCTCTAATTGGTTGATTTGCCAAATTGTCTAGTAATTGTAGGAAATTGGAGGGTAGAACTAGGGCTTATACTAGAACTTAAGATGGTGGTTGAGAATGGTGCAAGGACTTAGGATGGGAGTTGAAAATGATGCTAGTAATGCATGTTGTGTAGTAACATAGTCGTTAGGTGAAAGTAGATAGAAAGTATTTTATTATAAAAGAACCTAGTAGAAAAATATAGTAGAAAAATAATAAAAAAATAGAAAGTTAATAAAAATTTAGTATTAATACTGATTTTTTATAGAAAAGACTTTTATTCACTTTGTAGGAGCAAAAATGAGCTAAATTAAAATAAATAAAATAAATAATTGATATAGGCATATTTCAAAAATATTAAGAATAGGTTTTAAAATAAATTACCTTAAAATATGAAGAATTGATACCTAGAGAGAACCGGTCATGAACCAAGGTTGAAATCAAACTTTGAGATATAAAACCATACACCTACAATGATTCTAGGGCTTTTTGATTGATCTGAGAGTGGGATTTGAGAGCAGACAAGAGAGAAGTTCATTGAGCATTGATTTGAGGTGATTTGAGTATGGAACAACTTTGTAAAGGCTTTGCAAAGTCAAGGTTGTTTTCAAGTGATTTTGAATATTGAGAAATTTAAAGAATTGGTACTTTGGACAATTGTTTGAGATTTATAAATGATCTATGGATAAAATTTTGTAATTAAGAGGTTATTATTTTGTGTAATGTGTATTGTAAGTTTGAACCTAATCTAACAGTTTATTCAAAGTTTATTAAAGCTCAAACATATTAAGGTCTCAATAATTGAGATTTAGAGGAGTTGTGAGGGTTTATAAAATATGTGTCATTTTTTTCTTTTAGATTGAAGTTAAATTTTTCATACAAGTAATAAACTTAACTTCCAACAATTGTACAAAATTTGAGACTTATTGAATGATGAAATTAAGTTATTTTGGCTCTAAAATATCGGCATCGAGGTTGGATAAGAAGGCTAGCCAACATCCAACCAAGTTTTAGAGGTTATCTTTTATTTGGTATATTTCATATTCTTCAAATATTTTGTGCTTATTTCTAACTTAGTTAGTAAGAAGTATAAAAATTTCAGTCAAAATCAATATTTTGATCATTAATTATTGATATTTCAATCTGCTTTTAGATTTAGGATTTGATTAGGATTTGGTTTGGATTTTATCAGGATTTGGTCTAAGATTTGGTTAGAGTTGATTTATGATTTCATTAGGATTTGGTTAGGATTTGACTAGGATTCATTTAGGATTCTTATTGTTAATATTTCTTTAAGAAATTTTATTGTATCTATATATATATATATATATATATATTAAGATTAATTTATGATTTTTTAATATTTTTTTTGTAAGTTTTTAAGACTCTTTTAGAATTTAATTAAAGATTGATTAACATTGTTATCATTTAATTGGAGTTTGTTTAGTATTCTATTAGAATTGTTAGGATCTTCTTGTTGTAAGTTCTATTTTACCTTCCATAGCCTAGTGCATAATATATTTTCAAGCAAACTTCATAAAATACAACACCATGGAGTTTGTTTAGTATTCTATTAGAATTGTTAGGATCTTCTTGTTGTAAGTTCTATTTTACCTTCCATAGCCTAGTGCATAATATATTTTCAAGCAAACTTCATAAAATACAACACCATGATGGCAATAGTGATAGGAATGACATCTAAGACTAGATTTTGTACCAAGATTAGGAATGTGAGTTGAGAATAACATTGGGATTAAAGACAGTGATGAGGTTTGAAATGGCTTTGGAATTAGAACTTGTTCTAAGACAAAGAAGTAGAAAAGGAAGTTTGGAACTTGTGCTAAGATTAAGAAATATAGAAGGAGTTTTGAAACTTGTACAAGGATTAAAAAGAAGAGGTAAAAAATTAGTCAATTAAAGGTCTTAAGTGTGCATATAGCAATTTAGAATGTGCTTGTAGTTTGACCTATACCTTGGATGTTTCTATGTTAGATAATGCATTACTATGATCTTATAGAGCAATGTATTAAAATTATTAAAATAATTTGAATATACTTTGATAAAAAAATAAAAAATAAAATTTAGAATATAAATGATTAGTAAGCAAAATATCCTATATATTAGACAAGGTACCATAGCCTTTGCTAAATCTTTTTATAACAAAATATAAAAATAAATTAAAAGAAGTAGAATAAATTAATTAATTCATTATTTAATTTGTGATATTTTTAGGTATAAATTTTGTAACTTCCATAAATAACAAAGAATACTAGAAAATAAAAATATTTGAGTAATAATAATAATGAAGTCTATGATCTAAGCCTAAATGATTTTTAATATTCTTCCATGTCTATGTTAATATTTTAAACATCAATCTTATATCTAATCAATAAAAAAATTATATCTTTGGTGTATTGTCTATAATTCTTATGCTAAATTGATTATATGATACTCCATATATATATATATATATATATATTTATGCAAACATCAAACTTAAATTTTGTGTATGATAGATAAATAAAATTGCTAAAGATTTGATTGTACTATTGAATATCATGAAGAACCATATTAAATATTTTGTTTTTAATATTAATTAGTAATTTCAACAATATTTGTCTCAATGATTCTTTGCTAAATACCAAGATAACCAAAATTATATATTTTTTTTATAGATGATGTTGATTAGATGTATTAGCTTATTTTAAAATCTATGCAACATGCTTAATATTAATGGTTTATCATGAAATATTTTATTGTTATTTTTTGTGCTATAAATATACAGCATAGTACAATAGAGGCATGTATAAAAAATAAAATAAAACACTTCTTTCTTCTATGAGAGAAGAAATTTTATTTTAACTCTTGAATAATGATCTAAGATATCAACTACAAAGATAATACAATTATTTAATTATAGTTGAGAGGCTCATAAATTTTAATCTTAAATATTGTAGTATAAGAAATTATTAGAATAAGAATGAGGTTAAGAAGAAATTGTGTAGCCAAAAATAATTATGTGAATTTATAAATATAAAATTTAAAAATTAAGAGAATAAACTACACAATTGGGTCTAGCAAGATAATAAATAAGAAGCAATTACATAGTAAATTAGGTTAATCAGGATATTAAGATAATAAATAGGGTTTAGGGTTTATATAAATACAATCCTCCTGATTTACATAAATTACTATGTGGACTTTTGTGGGCTTTCATCCAATCGATTCTCTCGGATTCAATTATGTTAAGTTACCAATGCAATGAATACTACAGTGGAACAAAGAATTCACATATCTCGTATCCACTTGGCTAAATTGATCACAAGCAAATGCAGGTTGATTAAATTTCAGGAGATGTAATTTCGGGTCAACTTGTATAGGATACCTCAGCTCTTGATCATTAGACTCCTGTGGTGATTGCGATAATTATATAACTTGGTGCAAACGCTTTCTCACAGCTTTTGGTACAGTCAATTCTACATATGCATGTAAGGAATAGGTTGGTATGCACTCGTTTTGATCGTGAAGTAAACTGGTCAGACTTTAGTGTCATGCATCTTCATTTCATGATATCAGTTTCTTGTGAGCACAAACACGTTGAACTGGATTGATTCTACATTTAGTTTCAGTATGCTTTTCTTACACAACCCAATATTGCACTACCACATACAATTACTACGAAAATCTTTCCAGTTCATCTTTAATGGGAGCCTTCGTCCAGAAAGAGGGGAGATGCAACCCAAACTGTACCTCCGCCATCACCAGTCCCCTCCGATCAACGCATTGCCACTAATGCTCGGGACAACGTTGGAACGCATTCAAATAGGTTGAGTGCCCTGCTAGCAAGACGAGTAAGAATTAAGGTACTAATTCCTGGTTTAAAAATCTCCTAACAACTCAATTGAAGCATTTGACAAGTAATTATCATCCACAGCAGTTTACAGTCTCAAACCTGACAACTTCCGCAATGCATGTGGCTTCATGGGCCTCCACATCAGCATGGATCCAGTGAATGGATTCAAAACATTCAGGAGGGCCGCGAGCAGCTTGTAACAGAGACCGTAATTGTAATTACGATCGTTGGTATCCCAACGACACATGACCATAGTATTGATTTAAAGCTGGACCCAGTTGACAACGAATAGAACGACTATAATCACCATTATCATCCTCTAGAGAAGAGTAACTTTTAATTGATAAATCTTGATCCATATTTTCCGTACTTCCAATGACACTGATGCTTATCAACTACGCTGTCCAAAAACAAGTAAGGGATGATGAAGTCGCTTCTCAAAGACCAAGGCTCTCCAGTTACAGGCAACAAGTGGGGCTCGTTTCGAAAATTCAAAAATGATTACGAGTATTAATTAAAAACTGAGCCATTTAATTACCCTTCTCTTACCTCAGGATGCTAGCATGAACCCCGGCAATCGAGACTTAAGGATTGAAAGAAGCTCATGCTTGCTACACTTCACGAGGACCTCTTCTGACGACCGTAGACCAACTTGATTGAGCCTCAGAGCTGCTTCAACCAGCTGACCCCTAAGCCACTGTGAAAGAACCACCCCGCTTGAAGCTATGCACTCTTTATAAAGAGGAAGATAAGCTACAGTCGCTTGCAGTTGCAAAGGAAGTTCCTGCAAATGGAGAGGTGAGGAACCCCGCTTTAAAGCACGCATGACGTTAAGATGATGAGCCTGGCCGAGTAAACGCCCACTTAAGAAAGCCTCTTCGGACCATTCTTCTAGTAAAAATGTGCGTAGCTCCGACGTAATTGCTTCGTCCTCCGACTTTGCAATGTTATCGGCTATTCTGTATGTTGCCTCTGGGTTATTCAAGAAATCGGCTTGCAACAGGAAAGCTATACCCTTAAGGGATCCACCAGAACGCTCGCCTGCAGCCTGCGCTACAAGATAATTAAGATCTGCTCATAACACAAATTATCTTTCACGAGGAAGACTTAAATCTCGATGCAAACACCCTTCATTACGAAACAGCAATTCATTACTTAAATGCCCAAAATCCATTGGAATTCTTAAATAATAGAAATACCTTTAAAATCTCAGCGCTGAGAGTCTGCAAGACATGATGAGGAACATGGCTCAAGAGGAATGCAGCAACGTCCACACGGCTACTGGAAGCTGCAGCAGTTAGCGCCAAACAGAGCTCCATATCTTTACAACCCCTTTCTACAAACCATTGAACAACCTGTTTCATACCAAATCATCGACTTAAGGTGAATAATATCACAGTGCGTACAGGAAGTGAATGAAAAGCTAACCTATCTCTTGCAGAAAACAGAGCAATTCAAGATATTATGGCTCATTACTGCGAATATATTCACTAGAAATAAAGACATGGTCCTCTGGAAACAGCATGCATTACACACGGTTCCTGATGAATTTACTGCCAGGGAACAGGACATAATATTATAATATGACGAATCAATTGAAGGCTCTAACCTCCATGCAGCCCCTTTCAGCAGCTCTCATGAGAGGCCCCAAAAAAGAATCTGCTTTGCCATCCTCAACCAGGCATTCCATGGTGCCAATTTTACAATAGTGGGAGGCAAACCCCAATGCTAAGTCCACATCTAACTCTACACCATCCCGCTGTGCAATCTGCAAACATCATTTACCACATATGAGGTGACATTCTGCCCTCAAAGTAACGACATAGAGAAGAAACATAAGAAACAATATACGTTTCCTTTGTTTATAACTATCCAACTAGTGCACTTATGCAGTTCAAAGAATAGGGAAACGGCTGGATGAAAAAACTGATCCTCGACCTGCAGACTAGTAATGAGTAAAATGGCGTCACCATAGAACAGTTGACGAGCGATAACATTGGCCTAGACATGAAATCTCGTTCTCTTAACCAGAAAGATCACACGAGGGAAAAAAGAAAAGAAAAGTATGAGCTGATTACCTGGAGCAATATTCGAACAAGTTCTGTACTTCCAAATCTGGCAGCTTCGAGAAAACACTGATTAACATTATCTGCACCTCCCTCTACCAAAAGCCCCAGCAGCCCTTGCATGGCACTTGCTGCTATGCCAGTTGCCCATCCAGGATCAATAGCGCTGGAGAACAAAGTGAGAGGAAAACATGCTGCATCGAAGGCTTCTGTGTAATCCTTTTTGGTTAGTCGGGAACCTGCTAGTTCCAAAAACCTATTGAAAGCCATAAGCTGAAGGCGTGACTCTACAGCCGAGCTGTGTATAATAGTCATGCCTATGTCCCCAGAGGATCCAGGGTGTGCTCCTGCCTCACGTGAATGTGAACCAATACATTTTAAAGCCCATTCAGTAAATCTCTGAACTTTCGCTGCAGCTTCAGCCTTCAGAATTTCATCACCATTACATTCCTGAAGTCTCTCTCCTAACCTGCATTAGAAAAAGAAAAATAATAAAACGTTGAATCTAGTGACTTATCCATGACATAGAGGTACAATTGACATCAAGTAACAAGATTTATGAGATACTTCTACAGCTACATTCAAATCTTTGACAATATAGATAGCTCGAAATCCTACCTTTGTGCCATTACTGTAACAGTGTCCGCCAGGCTCATAGTCCGTGATCGACACGCTGATACGCAGGAAGCTAAGAAGGAAGTACGGAGAGCTGCACGTGTGAAGTCGTGAGCCCCAGCAAGAATCAAACTCTCAATTAAACGTGTTGCAGCCGCCAGTTCCTGTGTTGTACTGAAAACAATCCACAATGCCTCTGCTTACTTCCCTTCATCTGGGCCATGCACTCTCTCAATGCCACTTTGCAACGCACGATTCTAGCTTAGCTCATTTACAACTAGATCATAAAACTAACACAACGTGAACCTCACCTTAAGAACCAAATGGAATCCAGGGCGATGCATAAGCCATCGTTGAGCCTTGGAGGATCTGCTAGAGTTATGAGACTCTCAGCTAGAGCCCAGTCGTGAACACTAACAGCCATCTGAAAAGATCTCCCCAAATCCACACGATCTTTCTTTGGGCTCACAGCATCGTCCTTCCCGGCTCTTTTTCGGAAGCTATGCATCCGTGAAGATTCGTCCCTTCCACTGGCTGCTTCTGCAAAACCATCACCACTCTCCTCAAAACACACAGTGGAAAGGCGGCATATCTCTGCAGATGTGCAAAGAGTCCTAATAGAGTCAGATAATTATGAAACTAAACCAAAAGTAAGATCTCCAAACAGGATAAACACACAAAGCAAAGTAAACAATTCCAAAAGGGCTGAACGTGACCAAAACACGCAAATTGTTACATGTACGCCGAAATGGTTACAGAGGCTAGCGTACCATTATCGCTAGTCCAGTTAGAGCTATTAATTCTTTCTCGTCCGCTTGTACTAGCAGTACATTCCGGGGAGAGTTCGTGATTCACATTTTCTCGACCACTACAGTCATCTAAATCACGTTCAAACGAATGCCGAACAACTCCCAGCACCTCAACCTCTTCCATAGGTGTCACCTCAACCTCTTCCATCCTCGTATCGGCTTGTGTTACAGCGTTACGGCATCTCCTTATATGTACGTCTGAGATTCACAATGATCTTTTCCCAAGCTAGTCATGTCTCAATTCTCCCGTACTGAGCGGGCATGTACTTGAGGCATGCTGTAAATATGCTCCTAGTAATTCTACAGCGAACAACCCTAAAAGGATGCACAAGCTGAGGTAGAGACCATGATCATGCTCTGACTACTGCCAGCAAATCCAATGCTTCTCGTTTACTTCCTCGTAATCACGTCCTATGACTCAACTTTTGCAGTGCTTCAAACACAAAGGTGTTCTAAGAATTCAATTGAGTTTCATGTGTCGAAAGTGACCTGTTGCAGAGGTCTAGCATTGACATCTTCAAATCATCAACTGCAGACAAAACTTGTGGATTCACATTCTGCCTTGAGAATCTGCCTGTACAGCTGCCAAAACCCACGAAGTCGATAAAACTCGGTCACGAAAATCATTTACATTGTGAAAAGCACTTCAGCGCTCTTCAGTTACGGAACGATAACTGGGAGCTTGTGCTGTGATGCGATCCCACTCTGTTGATCTTGAGCTTACGGTATCTGGGTAATTGCCCAAGTTACGTAGTCTTATCATGTGCACTCCTTTACCAGCTGGATTTGTGAATGTTCGTCCAAACGCCCAAGATCGCAAGCACCTGCAATAGGAAGGAAAAATAATTAACAAACCTAAACGCGCAAAGGCCAGCCACAGACAAGAAACCACAGGAACAACTAAAACATATCAAGATGATATACTAAGGCATCTTCCCAAGATGTATAATCTTACATCCACCCACGCCCTATATCCTCCTCACAATAAAATTTTAAAAATGACATGAAAATTCTATCAACAACAATTCAAATACATTTGGATACACAATTAGAGTGAGATACTTGCGCTTGGACTCCCAAGAGCAACATCCAACAAGTAGAGGAAAGCGCAAATGACAGGACACAGTCAATTGAGCTTGACGGGAAGCTCCACAGACGAAATCCAGACAGTACCGCACAATCATATCCTTAGAAAATCTTCACTGCAGTCCAACTGCCGAATAACAGTAGCAACGCAAGACTATCTCACACTCAAGCAAAGCAGGAATAGAATGGCAGCAACTTGTTCCAATCCACCCCATGATCGCCATCCCAAATTGGGAAATTCAAGGCTCAAATTGAAAAATCAAGCAGGAAAACGGAATGCACGGATGGGCCAACTGTTGACTCGACTAAACAGCAGAACATACCGCCGGTCGTGCAAGCATCTCTCACAACCATGCACGATTAATCACAAGATAGGGATGCTTTCTCCTGCTGCTGCTACCGTTTGCTGAAGGAATGCTTTCTACGCTGTTGACAGACTACGCTAAAATAATGATTGAAGGTGAACGCGTCGGTGGGCGTGCATGCATGTTAGAGTAGTGAGTGTTAAACATGGGAGTGAAACAGGGAGGAGCCCAGAGATACCATGAAGCGATGCAAGTGGGAATCGTCGCACTCCTTTCTGTCGCTCTCTAATGCTGGGGAGCGCTTCTGGAAAAAGAACATCAATAGTCTCGCAAATATGGACACTCTCACTCCCCTGCAAGTCAAAGCCCTAACTTACGAAAGATGGCAGCGATTTTAGCTACACATGGGCTGGAAATTCATTGATCGCGGCGACCAGCCCCGCTGCACATTCCTCTGCATTCAATGCGTATCCCTTCGTCACTACAATCGCCCATACCCGTCGGTAGAAATCGTCCTTACAAAGGGTACTGGACGCCAGAACACGGATAAAAGTAAAAAGCCTGGGCTCAAGCTCACAGACACAACTGCGGCTGCCAAGTGGGTTTTTATTAGACGCGGACAAGAGATGGAACATGCCACCATAGCGTCATCAGTCATGTCCGATAGGGCAAGGCACAGTCATTCGCCAGCCAAAATAGCATTAGTTCACTAACTCGTGTGGGTTTTATTGCAACTCCCCTAACTCTGCTTAGCCTGATGAGTTGGTGTAACGGCCGATGATTTTTCTGGCGTCGGGTATGATCAACAAGATGCGTGAGAATTTTAAATCATTTGGGGTCTTAAGATTTGCGCAGTTGTGAGCGTCTAGATGGGATCCAAGTCATAAGTCATAATCTCCTTGACTTGGCTGGGAAATCACTGCAAGCGGTTGTCAATAGCGAAGTAGAATGCCCCTAATTTTTCCAGTTAATGTCTCACTTGTCTGTATCGTCACAATAACTTTGCTCTATGAGTTTTGGTTTATTGCTGTTTTCTTTATATCCCGCAGAATCATGTGCTTCTGTGATCTGGTTATCCTATGCAGAGGGAGATGAGCAAGGAAGAGGTCGTCTAGGACAAGGAACCAGCCTATGCCGCTGTGATTCTAGTCGATGAAGAGGTTGTGGGGGAGTTGATGAAGAGGAATAGGGATGAGGATTGTGTGGTTCTTGACCTCGGTGTGACATGTTCCATGGGGCACCAGTTCTTAACTATGCCTAGGCAATTCCTGTAAGTTCCGAGTTTTGAAACGACAAGGTCCTTTCAAGCCTTGTTGGTTGCGTCACTTCCAGTCTTGTTTCAGGTTTCAAGTTTATTCCTAAGCTGAGACTCATAAGGATCAAATGCTTATCCGCGAGACCGGCATATTCAATATTCAGTGCTTCATTGTCTTCTGGTGCTGCCACAGTACCTGGATACATTTGATCCTATGATCGGCTCAGTCTGGTAGGCGCCTCCAGCACTGGCAACGTATCTGGGTACCTTATCCACATGAAATGAAGTCTTGATTCGATTTGATGACCATGTATTTAAGTATTTCTTCTGCTTTTCTGTCTTCCCTTTATACACACATTCGACTGTAAGCAGAGACAGTAGGTACTGTTTTTGAGTAACTGAGAATGGAGTGAGATCATAAACAACATTTTGTTTTTTTGTCAATGAGCAGGGTTCATAAAGTTTCAGCTTGTCATTTTCTGAGAATATAGAAGCTGAGGGCAATGTACCTCCAACCGAGAGAAATTAGGCCATTCTTAGCCATGAATGCCCAGCTTCGAAATGCCTCTGGTTTTCATCATCCATTTATCTAGTTGAAACCTTCACATAAAAAAACAAGTAAACCAACTGAGAGCCTTTTTATCTTAGAACAGGATTAGTACCTCATTCATAGACTTCAAATCAGCTGAAAAGCTACACGATTTCAAATCATTGGGACCTCCTCCTAAAGAATTCTCTCGTTATTTAACCACGGAAGTGATAGCTTACAATAACTCAGTGAAAACAGAATTCCAATATACTAATAGGAAGGTCCGAAAAAACTGAGTTTATAAAGCAAGTGCAAAATGCCGAAGTAGGTCAAGAAGGCATACATATAATCAACAAGATGTCAGAAACATACACATCTTCATAACAAGAAAACCATAGAAACGCAGACAATGAAAGAATTTCAGCAATCTCCAACACTTGATGCTTTACAATAACTGCAAACAGACATATGAATTTTGTTGTGGACGAGGCTGCCAATTGAAAATCTCCGCACAGTTAGCTTAAATTATATTTGAAGCAGAACTTCCTGAGTACCAACCGATGATCCGAATGTACTCCATGCCCAGGCTCTCCACGTGAGTTCAACGTGCATATGATCTGCCTCATACAAGTTACGACGTTGAGCAACAACTAATGCGCATCCTGGACTCACAAGCAGAACTACGAATCAACAAATCATCACCGACAAGCGCTGATTGCGGTGAATATGCATTCGGAGGGATGAGAGATGCCTGCTGAACGCTGTAGCATTTGAAAAACGACGACCAATTTCAGAGAGTGAAGCCCTAAAACGACTCAACAGCGAAACCCTAAAACAAACATACCTGCAAAACCTGGGACTGGAAAGGTTAAATCCTACACCCTTCCGCCCCAAAAGCAGAAGAGGCGCTCAATGAATGCATAAGGATTTAAAACAAACAAACAAACAAACAAACAAACTGTTGAGAATGTTTAGAAAGACACAAGAATAATAGTAAGTCATACACAAACAAGAGTAGTAGTAAGTCATACACACAAGAGAGTTTCTAAAGAGAGAGAGCTTCACACACACAAAATCTATTCATCTGGTTGTGTCTCATATACAAGAAGAGAAAAGAAGAGAGGATAAATAGAACTTCTCCACTAGACTCTAAATACTGTAGCTATAGTAATTACTGTAATCTATAGTAAATATTATGGAGAGCGCCAACTACATTTAATGATCTCAACACTCCTCCTCACTCATCATAATATTTACATAATATAAAATTTGTATAGAATTATGATCTATACTTTTCTGTGATCTTGCAAGATCAAGAATTGTTGCCTCATTAAAACCTTATCTAGGAAAACTTTATTTTATTTAAGAACAAAATCATAGATGAAGGAAAAAGAGTACAACATCATTTTCTTTAATTATTTAAAGAGCTCATTAACTTTCTTATTCAAGAAAAGCAAGTCGCCGCATACCAATGCCATAAGTAAGTCAACGATGGTTGCTTAATGGGAGAGTTTTGGTGAAGAGATCAGCAAGGTTATTTGTAGATTCAATTTTTTTAATTATAAGTACTTGATCAATAATCAAGTCATGAGTATAACTAAAATACTTTGGATCAATAATTTTTTTATCTTATCGCCTTTAATGAAACCAACTTGCATCTATGCAATACCAGTACTATTACTTTCATGCAAGATAGTTAGAGAATCATCATATGAAAATCCACAGGTTGTTTGAATGAATTTATCAATTGATCACAACCAAATACATTCTCGAGATGCTTCATGTAAGGCAATAATTTATGCATAGTTGGATAAAGTTGCAGTTATTGTTTGTTTCACTGATTTCCATGATATTGTAGCTCCATGTCTTAAAAATACATATCATGTTTGAGATTTAGCTGTTGCAATATCAGATTTATATCTTGCATCACAATATCCAACTAATTTTGGATCTGCAGATTTTGTGTAGTATAATCCCAAGTCTTCAGTACCTTTTAAATAACGTAATAAATGTTTGATGCCATTCTGATGTCGTAGTGTTGGACATGCACTATGTCTTGCAAGAACACTAACTGCAAATGCAATATCTGGTCTTGTAGATGTAGCTAAATACAAAAGTGCTCCAACTGCTACGAGGTATAGATATTGGTCTCCCAATATTTCCTCCTCTTCCTTGTATGGACGATGTCGTATTGTGGTTCGGCTACTATATGAAAATAATGTAATTATGTACTTAATATATAATTTATTAAGTAACATGGTGAGAGCCATGTTAATAGATTTTAGTTCGTTGTAGAATATAATTTGATTATTACTTTGAGAAGAGGTTGTTTAAAAAGATTACTATAGAATTTGTATAACTTTAATTTCTTTTTGATAGTGGCTTTTAAGATTGGTTTTGGTTGATAGTAACTTCTAAATATTTAGAGTCACCTTTGTTAGACATTGGTGACATTTGAAAACTTATTCTGGTTTTTTTATTTGGTGTTTAGAGCATACATTATATAAATCTTATAAGAAAAAGGATTGAAGAAGGATTTTGGTAGCAAAGGGAGTAATTAGGGCACCAATATAGATGAATGGAGATGAAAAATAAAAATCTCCATTCCTATTGGTCAAAAATCATGACCAATGGGCTTTGAGGAGGCTGCCCGAGGCCATATTAGGGATTAGGGTTAGTTTCTCGAGGCCATTCGAACTTTGAAGGCTAGGGTCAGAAGGTTTAGGTTTTGGGTTAAGGTTTTGGTGCAAGTTTTGTGTCATTTGGGGTTTTTATGAAGAAGTTATAGGTGCTCAAAGTTAAGGTGTTGGTTTTGGACCTACTGTCACTCTTTTGGGCATAACGTACGTGTACGGATGGAAATTGAGGATCGGCGACCGCGACTGGAGAGAGCACTTTTGCGGCTATACTTTTCACATACTGCTTACTGGATTCTAAGTTGGGGTGAAGGAGTTATTGGATTTTGAAGTCAGCACATGCAATCTAAGGGTAGTAAGTAAACCGATTTACTAGTGTTTGTCTCTTGAGCTATATCTTGAGCAATTTGACAAGGTTTTGGCTCAAAATTTCAAAAAATGTATAATTTCATATAAGTAAACTTCGTGCATAAGTTTTATGACATTTGGAGTTCGAGTTTTTGAGATATAAGGAAAATAGTTTTTCAGGTGCTTGTAAATTAGGGTTTGGAGTGTCTGCTAGGGTTTCTTAGATGCCAGAAGATTGGGAGTGAATTTGGAGTTGGTTTTTTTTTTGTGGTACAAGTTAAGGATAAATTCTACCTATTTTGTAAATTTGAAACAAACTGAACGGTTAGATCAATAGTTATGATTTTCTAAAGTTTGGGGGCGAGAAAACCCTTCACGGAAAAAATATGTTTTGAAGGGATTTTGTTATATTTGGAGTTTTATACAAAAATAAAGGAGTTTTGGAAGCTAAGAAAAGAATCATATAAAGGATTAAGGTACACTCTCTACAGCTAGATACCCAATGTATTCCCAGATAGTAAATCATGCTATATGACAACAGTATGGATTATGACCATCATGACCACGTCCAACCATTGGTATAGACAATGGATAAGTATCAATCACATTAAATCTTCGCAAGATTCGTCTAATATACGTTAGTTGGTAGAAGAAAATACTACCATCTGTTAGATGCATAATCTAAAGACCAATAGAGAAAGTTATTTTTCCTAGCATTTTCATCTCAAATTCACATATAAGTAGGTTTGTAGCTGTAACACATGCAGATGTACTGCCCACTAGGTTAAGATCATCAACAAATGCAATGATGATCACAAAATCAGTTTTATCTCGTTTGATAAACAAACAAGGGATTAATGGATCACTTATAAAATTATTTGTAGTTAAATAATCTCGAAGACGTTGATACCACATTCGTCCGGATTGTTTTAAACCATACAAGGCCTTACATAATTTAATACCATGATATTTTCTTGCAGTGGATTAATTTGGAGTTCCTGTTTCTAAGCCAAGTGGAACTTTCATATAAATATTTGCATCAAGTCAACGATATAGATATGCAGTTATTACATCCATCAGATGTATCTCAAGGGTGGTATGAACTGTCATTCCAATAATATATCAAAATATAATTGAATCCATGACTGGAGAATATGTGGATTCATAATCAATACCAAATCGTTGAACAAATCCTTGAGCAACAAGACAAGCTTTATAGCGGGTTATTTGGCCTTGAGCATCTCGCTTGCATATTAATACTATTTTATATTCCACAAGGAGAGATATAAGAGTGTCTACAATTGGACCAAAGCCTTTCCTCTTACGCAAAGAGGCATACTCTTCCTCAATAGCAGTTTTCCATTTTGACCAATCTGAGCGACACATCCTCTCTTCGATGGTTTGAGGTTCAGGATTGTCTTCCTCGCAAGAAAAGGCTTCTATAATCATATATGCAAATGATTCATCTAGCGTAATAGATGGTTTGTTCCAAATATCATCTATAGCACAATATAGAATAGATAATTCTTTACTCAACTTGTTCTTATTCCTTCCAATTCCAAGATTATTTTTCATAGGAATTGAAGGTATATTATGCATAGATATATCGTCATGAATTGGTAGTCCTGCAAGATGAGTGGCAATTTCTTGAGAAATAATACGAAGATTAGTTAATTTTATAGCTTTCTTCTTACGTGGTTGCTTATCTAGTCCACGAGTTCTTTTAGTTGTTGTTGTTATAACTTGAGGTATTGTAGTCAATGGCACTACAATCTGAACAGGTGCATTAT